ACAAGAAGGAGAAAAAGAAGAGAAAAGGGAGGAGGAGGAGAAATTATGATAGTAATGGAGAATGAGGAGGAGGAGGAGGATCAAGAGGAGAGGGGGAGAAAGAGAAGGAGAAGAAAGAAGGAAAGGAGAAGGTGAAGAGAGGAGGAGAAATGAGGGTTCGTGGTGGAGGTGGAAGAGGAGGAGGAAGAGGAGGAGAGGGAAAGGAGAAAGAGGAGAATAATGGGAGGGAAAAGAAGAGGGAGAAAGAGAAATGAGGGCAGTGGCGGCAGATGAGGAGGAGAAGAACCATGAAGAGGAGAAGGGGAAAAAGAGGGGAAGAAGGAGAGGAAAGGGAGAAGGAGGAGAAGAAAGAGAAGGAGAAAAATGAGAGAGAAAGGAGGAGGAGGAGAAAGAGAAGCGGAGAAATAATGGGTGTATTGGAGGTTTTACTCTCTGTGGCACAATGAAATGCCCTGATGGAGTATGGCAGAAACAACCTGGAATAATTCACTAAAGATCTCCTGCTCTGTTCACACAAGGCAAGATTCTTGGTTAGTGTTAATCTTGGTCTGTTTTTACTCTGGCTGAATATCTACCCTACTGACATCCAACCTGTTTGGTTAATTTTGGGTGGAAGGTACTGTTCTAACCTAGGAAATGGGCTTGCTTAAGAAGCAGGCTCGGACTGTTGTGTGAATGCAGCCAGCGACTGAAAATCACCGCTGAGGTTTTCTCACTAGTTGTGCCCATAGTGGATTTGCTTCCAGCAGCGATGAAGAGTTGAAAATCCTTTCAAAAATCGACTCTTTCGAACAGGCTAGCCTTGGGGTTTCACAGAGCTCAGTTAAGCACCGTTGAAAGGTTCTGTCTAATAAGAAAGTTTGCGCATTGGGTGTCAAAAAATTTGAATTTCTTGAAAGGGCTCTTCCAGCTTCTTCCAGAATTCAGATTGCTTCATATAGATCAGCGGTCGCCACCAGAGAGAGAGAGAGAGCGATGGAAAGAAAGAGAGAGAGAAAGGGAAGGAAGGGGAGAGAAAGGAAGGAAAAGGAGGAGAGAGAAAAGGGGAAAAGAGAGAGAGAAAGGGAAGGGAAGGAAGGAGAGAGAGCGCAAGGGAAGGAAGGGGAGAAAAGGGGAAAGAAGGAGAGAAGAGAGAGCAAGAGGGGAAGAAAGAGAGAGAAAGGAAAGGGAAAGAAGGAGAGAGAGAGAGCAAGGGAAGGAAGAGGAGAGAAAGGAAGGGAAATGAGGAGAGAGAGAAAGGGAAGGGAAAGAAAAAGAGAGAGAGAAAGGAAAGGGAAGAGAGGAAAGAGAGAGGAAGGAGAGAGAGAGAGAGAGAGGCAGGGAGCGGAAGGAAGGCAAGAGAAAGAAAGAGAAGAAAGGAAAGAAAAAGGGAGGGAAGGGAAGAAAGAGAGAAACACTGCTAACTTCGCAAGCTAATTCCTATGAATAAGTTGGGTCTCCTCCTGTTTAAGTTTTGTTTGAGAGCGATCACCTTAGTACCCCCACACATTCCCCAAACATCCCGTTTGTCACCGGTTGGCAACTTTGCGAGGTTTTGCACCTATTTATCAAGGACTACCTGTGGGCTTTGAGTCTCACTGGCCCAACTCCTTGGCCAAACTCAATCCATTGTCTCTAGCAAAGGATCTGGGAACCTTTGAGTATTTTAATCCCTCCCTGTAACATGAGTGGGGGATGAAATCTGAAGGGGTATAGGGTTTCCTGCCTAGGCAGGGGGGTGGACTAGAAGACCTCCAAGGTCCCTTTCAATTCTGTTATTCTATTCCATTCCATTCCATATTTTCTACTCTACTCTACTCTACTCTACTCTACTCTACTCTACCCTACCCTACCCTACCCTACCCTACCCTACCTACCCTACCCTACCCTACCCTACTCCTACTCCTACTCCTATTCCTATTCCTATTCCTATTCTACTCTAGTCTAGTCTAGTCTAGTCTACTCTATTCCATTCCATTCTAAATTCCTAATTAATTCCTAATTCCTAATTCCTTTTCTATTCTATTCTACTCTATTCCTATTCTATTCTATTCTATTCTATTCTATTCTATTCTATTCTATTCTATTCTA